ACCGACAATGTAATCTTCTGTGTGACTACTAACACACCACATCGTCTACAATATAGGATAATTGGACATTTAGCATACAAGCAATCATAAAGAATGCAACAATGTGAAAACATTTATTTCAGTCAAATGGGAAATCGAATAAATATAATCCAAAAGCTCACATAAAAGTTTGCTTTACTGTATACCCCAACAGCCTTCTCCCTAGTCCTTCGGGGACTAGGACTCGCGCGCGCCCCCCACACGCGCACGCTGTTGCGCGCGCTCCGCTTATGCCGACCCTCTCGCGCGCGTAGCCGCCATCGCCCAGCATTCCTACGCCCGCGCGGATTGGGTCGTCCGCGCTTGTCCCGCATTTGCGCGCTGTCGCGCGCCCCTCGCCACTACTGCCCACATCCCGCACGTCCTCGCCACTCCCGCGTGTGCCGCGCACGTCTCTTATTCCCGTGCCGCTCGTGCTGTCGCCCCATGCCTCGCGCGTTGCTTCCAGCGCCCCAGCGTCCCGATCCTTTATCGCGCGCCCCCGTGCACCCGCTGCACTGCGCGTCCCAGCCGTCCCCGTGGCCTGATCGTCTATCACACACCCGCGTACGCCACTTCGACTCCCCGGACCATTACGCGCATCAAGGTACGGTGCGCGTTCTTTGCTCGTGCTCGCACCCTTGTCGCCAACCGACTCCAAGTGCTTGCCCGATTCCGTAAGCTCTCCAGACAGCCATGGATTTCATCCATCCATCCCAATACAGTCACCAGCTTGCCAAATCCAACCCTCCTCCATTCTACTCTTTCCTCCCCTTCGAGCCACCATCTTGTGAACTCGTCTCTTTCTCGAACAAGGCTTGCACCAACACTTCTCTTCTTTTGCTTTTGCCTTGCCCTTCCTTCGAGCTCGTTTTGTCTTGCGCCTCTTAGGCTTTAGCTTAGCCCGTGGACCACATCCTTTCGGCCAATCCCTCACACATGATGGCCGGTAAATAGGACTAGATGGCTCCTCCAACATATTTTCTAGCCAAATAACGAGACCATCGTCACCTTCATCGTCGGACTCACCGGGGTTGATGACCACTTCCGTATCACAGCACGCTGGCGTGCAGTGGCGTGCAGGGCCACGTGCGGGAATGCGCGCGCACAGACGGGGCGCGAACAGTTCGGGCGCGCGC